ATCAGAACTTCCACCACTGCCGAGTGGCTAAAAGGCCTTCCTCTGAGCGGGAGGTCAGTGGGGTCATGCGGGACAAGTAATGAGGCATTTCAGCACCCCCAGCCAGCAAGGCAGCAGAGATTTACTGGGGAACCAGACACTAATGACGAACTCTCACTAATGAGAAGGCCAATGACATGGGGACTTGAAGAAGTTAAAGCCTCTGATACCCACAAACATTAAACACAGTCCAATTCCTAGCCGGGCTTCCCAGGTGACTCAGTGGTAGAGAAGAATCTGCCTCCCAATGTAGGAGATGCGGTTCCATCCTTGAGTCGGGAAGGTCCCCTGGAGAAGGAAATGGCAACCCGCTGCAGTATTCTTGCCTGGAGAATCCCATGGACAGAAGAGCCTGGCGGGCTACAGCCCACGGAGTCGCAAGAGTTGAACACAACTCAGCAACTAAACAACAACAACAATTCTTAGCCAGGTTAACCGAACACTGCACACTGGAGGCCTATTTACTTTCACTCCTATCACCCAAAAACACACATCTGGCTCTCAGCAAAACTACAAAGCAGGCAAAAGGCACTGCAAACACCATCCACACTACAGCGTCAAACTCAGGTATGGCACAGAGGTTGGAGTTATCAGACAGGGAATTTAAAATAACTACTTTCAATATCTTAAGGGCTGTAAAAGAAAAAGTAGACAACATACAAGAAGAAATGAGTAATTCAAGCAGAGGAGTGGAAAATCTCAGACAGAATAAAAAGGAAATTCTACAAATTAAAGCACTGTAACAGAGAAAATGCCTGTGAAGTGATGATCAGTAGACTGGACGTGGATGGGAAAAGAATCAGTGAGCGTGAAGATATGTCAACAGAAATTTCCCAAACTAAAAACAGGATAAATACCAAAGTGAAAGTGAGAGTGTCAGTTGTTCAGTCATGTCCCACACAAATATCAAAATACCAAAAAACACACACAAAGTCACACCATCACAATTAAAAAACAAAACCAAAAACCATGAAGAAACACTGAATGAAAAGGATCTACTGATGGCAAATAAGCACATAAAAGAGGTTCAATGATAGGGAAATGCAAATTAAAATCACAAGCTATTACTACATACCTATCAGAATGGCTAAAATAAAGTGACACAGGGGCTTCCCTGGTGGATCAGAGGTTAAGGATCCACCTTCCAATTCAGAGGTTACAGGTTTGGTCCCTGATGGGGGAACTAAGATCCCTCACACCCCAGGGCAACTAAGCCCACCCACAACTAGAGAGAAGTCCATGTGCCACAACAAAAATCCAGTGGAGCCAAAAAAAGAGGGAAAGAAAAGTGACAACACCAAAAGCTAGTGAGCATGTGGAGAACCTGGATAATAAGCACTGCTATTAATGGTATAAAAGTAAAATGTATGGCCACTCTGGAAAACAGTTTGGCAGTTTCTTGAAAAATTAAACATGCACTCAGCAATTATACTCATGGGCATTTATGGCAGAGAAATAAAAAGGTAAATTCACAGAAAAATCTGTGCAGCAATGTTTACATGTAGCAGCTTTGTTGGCAATAGCCATACACTGGAAACTCAGGTGCTCTTCAACAGGTGAGGTGAAGCACAGAACATCCATACCACAGAATACTAGTCATCAACAAAAAGGACACTGATACAGCAACAACCTGCATCAATCTCAAGAATTGTGCTGAATGAAAGTCAATCCCAAAGGGTTAAACAGGCTGTGAGTCCATTCATATACTACTCCTGAAATGACCATATTATAAAAACGAAGAACAGATCAGTGGTAGCGAGGGGTTAAGTAGCATTGGGGGTAGGGGGGTAGTGGGTGTGGTGATATGGGGTCCTCTCATTGATGGAAATGGTCAGCATCTGACTGTACCAATGTTGACACTTCAACTGCGGTGTTATCCAAGATGTCCCCACTGCCAGTACTGGACAGAAGGCACGGGTGATCCTCCATATGACTTCCTACAACTGCTTAAGAAGCTACAACCTTCTCAGAATGCACAGTTTAATTAAAGGAGACTGATCAATGGTAGTATGTCAGAAAATCAGAAATCTCCTAGCAGAAAAATGGAGGATGGGGGTGTGGCTACTGACTGGGAGGCGGCTCACACGGGTGTGCAGAAGCACAAATCCATCAAGACTAGTACAATTCACACAACTGATAACATGATATGCCTCAATGAAAAATTACTTTACACTGCCTTTTGATTATTCATATTGTTCACTGTAGTCATGGTACTGATTATGTATAAAAGTAATCTAATTGTCTGTAAACTGGTCAACAATGAGACCGTGGGTAGCTTTCAGCAGAAGCTCTTTACATTGAGGAGAGATTAAGGAAGGAGCAGGAAACAAGCAGATGCAGAGAAGTAAACACATGCAACTCTTCCCAGAAGTTGCCGATAAGGAGTGGAAGGTGATCCTCGGAGGGGAAGGTATTACTGAAAAGCTTTACAAGCTGAAGAGACAGACTTGGTAAATAATGACTTTAAAGCCACACGAGCACACCACTACACAATGTTTGGCAAAAGGTTTCTGAAAAAGAGGGAACAAATATGAAGAGACCACCCTCTGACAGGAGAGGCCACGCCCGCACCGCCTGTGCTGGGAGAGATGGCTGCTGACACAGACGTGCGTAGGTTCCATGGCGGAAATAACACTAAGAGAAACAACAACAGCGGTGAGGACGCTCAGTGGTACTGACCGCACACTGGGACAGCCGGCCCCAACGTCCAGTATCTGATACTCACACCCCGAGTGGTCTCCTCCACAAAGAACAGGGTGTGTGGACAGATATGCCAGTGTGCAACTTCCAACATCAGACCATCGGAAGACAACGCAGCTCCTTCTGAGGGAAAAGCTAGATGCAATATCCAAGTATCTGCCAAGAGGCCCAACCAGCCCCATGTGAGTGACCATCCTAGAGGCAGCTGCCCCAGCCCGGCCAAGCCTTCATGAGACGGCAACCTCATGAGAGACCCTAAGCCTTTAAAACCACCAACTAAGCTGCTTCTAAGTGACTGGCCCACAGAAACTGTGAGATAATAAATGTTTACTGTTTTAAGCCAGGCGATCTGGGAGTAAGTTACCAAGCAGCAGAAGAGACCTATTACTTACAGGCCAGACACAGGGGAGGTAAAAATAACTAACCTGTGATCCCCACGTCAAGAGGAGGAAAGAGACACACAGAAGTTAAACAATTTGCCCCAATCATCACTCAGCTGGTAAGAGATATGGACCCAGATTCAAATCTAGAGTCAGCTCGATTAGCTGCTGGGCATGCATTACCAAACGGAAGCAGTTCCCATCCCAAGGCTTACATTTCTGCTGTGACATAGGAGGCAAGACTCTCTGGTAAGAAAGCAGGAAAAAGCAGGTGAATCAGAGAACTGAATAAAATGGAAAAGGTTTGAAACAACTGCCATGAAGAGTTAGGACAGGGTCTGGCTAGAGAAATCTAACAGGATTTCCAAACAGTCCAGGAGCGATGAGGAGGCATGACCTTCTACACAGTGAATTTAAGATGAGCACAATGGAAAGAACAGAGGGCTGCCAGTGCGCCCACACGCAAGCACAAGTCCAAGTGTGAAAGAGTGGTGATGGCCAGACGGAAAAGACAAACAGGCCTTTCCCAAGTGCAACTGGTACAATAAGGAGTCGTGTACAGAAAAACTTCAGAACATTCTGTATATTCTACATCCAAGTATCACAAAAGGACTGAAAAAAGACTAAGATGAATGATGATAAGCTGACAGCACTCTCCATGTAACTGCCTTGATCTCAAGCATCGCAAGATTTTCTAGAGAGCCTTCCCTTTTTCCTATCTCCATTCAAGACGTCATGAGAAAAACTAAAGCCTATAAAAGAAAAAGAATATACAAGTTTCATTACAATCAGACCACACCAAAGAGCAGCCTCACAAGTATTCACTGACTTAATTTGATGAGATCTTACAACAGAGCTTTAGGCCCAAAACTTATCGAATTCACTTAATATTAAACTTTTCTAAATACATTCAAGTTTTAATTTCATGCATGTTTTTAAAATTCACTTCACTTGACAAACTGGCACAAACTAATCTCAAAATAAACAACACACAAGACAGCGGTGGGTGGATGGGAAAAATCAAACCATAGATACAAAATTTTTTCCAAGATACTTAACACACAAAAGTGCTTGAACAGATAAACATTTGTAAGCTCTCTCTCTCTCTCTCTCTATATATATATATATGTATGTATGTATTTTTTAAATATTTGAAGTTAATAAACAAGTTTCAAATAACAAGAGTTAGTATTCTTATGACATTTTCCCTTACTTTCATTATTACTTGAAGACTTAGTGAAAACAAGACAGAATAAGTGCAGTCAAAAAACAAAAATTTTCTAGTAAAAGAAAAAGTGTCCAAACTTGAGGCAGTTCTGGTCCAACAGAGGAACAGGAATGCTTAGGGAAACCTTAAAGTGAACCTCCATCAGCCAAAAAGTTATTTCACATGTTCTCTCTCTCTCTCACTCTGGATAAACCTATGTACTCTGAAAATAAAGCAAAATAAAAAAATAAAGTAAAATAAAAAATAAAGTAAAATTTAAAAAAATAAAATACTCTGAAATAAAAAAAATAAACTACTCTGAAAATAAAGTTAAAAAAAACCCTATGTACTCTGAAAATAAACATAAAGCAAAACGATTCTTAAGTCTTACAAAGATTTTAATTAAAATAAAGACTATATTAAAGAAAGTGTAAATGACAAGGTCCTACTGTATAGCACTGGGAGCTATATTCAATATCCTGTAGTAAATAATATGGAAAAAAATATGAAAAAGAATATATATGTATGCATACATGAGTTACTCGGCTGTATAGCAGACATTAACCCAACCACACTTTATAAAGTAAATTTTTTAAAATAAGAAGATAATAACACCCATGCTCAAATGGCTCTGCAGGCGGCACAGGTCTCCCGCCACCGCCGGCCGCTCTTACCCTGAGCTGCTCAGTGGAGCTGCTGCTTAGCTCATCGCCGGACTCCGAATCCTGCTGGATCCGTTCCGATCCTTCTCCCGCTGAGTCACAAGACTGCTCCTGGGAGAAGCCAGCTTTCTCCACCTCCAGGAACTCAGGACCGGTAAAGTGACCAAATAAGCGTGTCCTATTCTGGCCAGAAACTTTGGGAGAATGTGAGTCACTGTTGAGTTTTCCATTATTGTGGGTCAGGTCCAGGCTGAGGCTGACGGTCTGACCTGGAAGGTAACTGGGCCCAAAATTCTGATTGGCATCACGAACAAGACCTGTTCCTTGAACAGAAGACGAGGATGTCTTTCCAAAGCTTGACAGCTCGGGCAACCTGTTCACATTCTCCGAAGACCGCTGGAGGTGGAGACTCTGCGCCGTCTTCACAGAGTGGTTTGGCAGCCCCGGGGCCTGCTTCACTGGCGGCATCAGGGCTCGGCGGCCCACCTCCTTCACGTACTGGGCCGGCACGTAGAACGCTTTGGAACTCTCGTCTGGCTTGACCTGCCACCAGTCATCATTGGTCTTCTTCACCAGGAGGTACCGCTCCCCTTGCTTTATCACAATCTTTCTGTCCTTCGCTTCGTACTCGTAATCATACTCCACCTCGATGTACACCGGCCCTGGAAGAATCTTCCCGCCTCTGTCAGCCATCTTCATTCAGCAATATTCACCTCTCAGAAAGGACACTTTGCCACATTGTGGCTTTGTGGCTTGTTGGATCAATGCTGCTATTTTTATTTAACTGGGGAAGGGAATAAAGAAAAAAGTTAACCTGGTCTGGATTTTTAATATTCATTCACAAGCATCACATAATAAAGAACAACACCTTCAAATCTCAAATCTAGAAAGTAAACCTGTGCCTAATACTGTATGTACCACCCTGCATTAAAAATGCTCTCATTCTAATGGAAATCTACATTTTTCAATCATTTATGACCAAAGCCAAACCAATGACTGGAAAGGCAAATACACTAACCAGACATATGACTATCAAAAATAAGAGGTGAGAGGAACTCTCCTCTTCCTGACTGCTCACACCTCCTTCTCTCTCTTAGAAAGGCTCACTAACAATAATACATGTTAGGCACTGACCAAAGGCCAGGCATTAAGCCAGGTTAACTGTTGTGTCTCACCGAAAACCCTTTCTGAAGCTGAAGCTAGAATTTCAACGATCCTGAATGCCGTTCAATTAATTTTAGAAAATTCTCTATTTTCTAAAATGATCAAGGGCATGAGTAAGCTTTAAAAAAAAAAAAGTGATCCAAATATGTAAGTTTAATTTCCTAGTATTAATAGGAAAAAAACAACAGTTATTCTTAGGCAAAATACACACACAAACGGAGAAAAGAAACTGCTAATTTACTTTTGTTTCCTCTTACAACCACCCCAGGAGGACCACAATCCTCAGTAAGCTGAATTCCACAAACTCCAACAAATATCCAATCTTTTTAGTTGTAAATGTCAAAAAATAAATTATATACACACCACTCAAAATCTACTAGAAACAGCCCTAAACTGACTTAAGAAATCTAGGATTCACTTTTATTTCTATACCAATTCCAAATATTTTGGTATCTCATAAAACACAGCATTTAAGCTTCAAAATGATCAGAGGAGCTCAATTTTGCTCAATTCAAGTCAGGCCCCAAGCACTGCGGGATGAATGTGGTTTCCCAAGAACCTATGTCTAAGTCCTAACACAAGACCTGTGAATGTGACTATACTTGGACATAGGGTCTTGGCAGATGCAGTCAATCTCAGATGAGTTGCACTGATTAGGGTGGGCCCAAAATCCAATGGGCTTCCCTGGTGGCTCAGATGGCAAAGCGTCTGCCAACAATGTGGAAGATCCGGGTTTGATCCCTGGGTCGGGAAGATCCCCTGGAGAAGGAAATGGCAACCCACTCCAGTACTCTTGCCTGGAAAATTTCATGGACAGAGGAGCCTGGTAGGTTACGGTCTATGGCGTCGCAAAGAGTCCGACACAACTGAGCGACTTCACTTTTTTTTCTAAAATCCAATGAGTTTCTAGGGAGGGAAGACGGGAGACAAGGAGAGGAGACACACACAGGAAGATGACCACGTGCAGACAGACGCAGAACTTGGGGGTGGAGCAGCTACAAGTTAAGGAACACCAAGGACTGCCAGCAAGCGCCAGAGGCTGGAACAGGCGAGGAAGGGTTCTCCCTGGGGTACTCAGTCCTCCGGCTCCAGAACGAGAGAACACGTTCCTGTTTTTTTGGTGGTGGTTTTGACCGCGCCACACAGCATGCAGGATCTCAGTTCCTCGACCAGGGGCTGAACCTACACTACACACCCTGCAGTGGGAGCACGGAGCCCTCACCACTGGACCCCTAGGAAATGACCCAAGTTTCTGTAGTTTTAAGTCCCCAGTTCGCAGCACTTTGATACAGCAGCCCCAGGAAAACACACTCAGCTCAATACTCGAGAATTCTCAGGCAAACCTGACTCTTGACTATACCAGAAATGTTTACACAAGGTCCCACAACAGGCTACCAATTTCCCTCAGCACCCAAGTAATGGGCACGGCGTCACTGACACTGTATGTGCCATGACTACCACACCCTGAGGACGACATCCTCCTAAACAGATAAAGCCCAGGTGATAACTAGTTACACAGTTTCTGCAACTCAAATTTACTTTGTACAAACAAACTACTTGGAAAATGAGTTTAACATAGTAATGCTGTTTCAAACAATAGTAAAAATAAGAAACGTACCTTAGAAGAACTAAACATCCAGTATTACATTTAAACCTATAAAAAATAAAATAAACTTCATCAACTTTAACCAGGATTGCTGAAAGAAGACTAAGGAAGGCAATGTTACTGGCAATGCATGACTTTTTTTTTTTTTTACAACAGCTGTAAGGAACACCAACAATTTTGCACATCAGGGCTGTGTCCAGCAACATCCTCCAAACACGTAAAACCACAAAGTATACTTGCCCACTGACCCTCCAACTTCATTTCCACTTTGTTTCAACTTCATTTCCACCTTAGTTATCCTGACAGAAATGACTTTTAAAAATTTTTAATAACATGAGAAACAACTTTTGTAAAAACTGTTGGGTGGGGAATAAATCTGAAATGTGAGACAGTCTATGAGAAACACACCTGAGTGCTTTAAACAATCAGTTTCATGAAATGAGAGAGTCTTCTAGATTAAAGACAAGTAGAATACATCTGCTAGATCCACTGGGTGTTCCAACAGGCACCTAAAACTTCACCACATCCAGAATCTACCCCGCCAGAAACTACCTTGCCAAATCCACCCAGTCCTTCCCGACATGGTAAATAGAAATTCTAAGCTTCCAATCATTCAGCCTTTACTTTCACGCATTGCCAGGACATTAGTCACTAGGAGTGTTAATCCTTTTACCTACAGAAAAGTTTTTCACTACAGCTTTTCAAAATTCCACACTGAAATACTTATCCTCAGGCAATTTGTTACTTTCCAGGAAGTAACAACTTAAGAAACACCTTTGAAAATACTGAACAAATAAGGGAATACACAGAAGGTTAGGGGCTCCCAGGTGAACCAGACCTGGTCAGACGCTGATCTGCAGGAAAGAAGCAAAGGAAGGAAAGAGTAAGGAGTAAACTGCAAGGGCAGGGGCGTGGGGTGGTGAGAGGCGTCCACTCACCGCACAGATAAGGAGGAGGAGGAGTCAGGGAGAATGATAAGGCAGTTTCACTGCACTCAGCATGGGACGCCCGGACTAAAGTTTTCATTACTGTAAAGGAAATGAGAACTGCGGGGCGGAGAAAGACAGAGAAACAGTTCAAAGACTGCGGAGAAAGACAGAGAAACAGTTCAAAGACTGCAGACAGAACAGGTAGTTAGATACAAGGCAGGTGACAGGAGCCAGAGAGGGCACGGGGCAGGGGGCAGGAGGGGGGAATAACAGGAACCGAGACAGTAAGGAAGTAACCAAGCATTAGTTGCTCAGTCGTGCCCGACTCTTTGCGACCCCATGGACTGCAGTCCACCAGGCTCCTCTGTCCATGAGATTTTCCAGGCAAGGATACTGGACTGGGTTGTCATCTCCTCCTCCAGGGGATCTTCCCAACCTAGGGATAGAACCCAGGTCTCCTGCACTGCAGGCAGATTCTTTACTGAGCTACAAGGGAATGGGGGTGGGGGGTGAAGTGGGAAGCCCCTGAGACGATTAAAATAATAAACTTCTAGAAATTCATATCGCGGGAATTATGTATTACAATCCAAGGTCTAAGAAAAGTCAACATAACAAATATGAAGAGAAAAGCCCTAATAAAAAGTATACGTACAAATAAAATTGTGGGATGGCTCTAAAATACTTCAGGAAATGGCAACCCACTCCAGTATTCTTGCCTGGGAAATCCCATGGACAGAGGGACCTAGCAGGCCACAGTTCATGGGGTCACAAAGGGTCAGACACAACTTTGCCACTAAACAACAGTATGACTGAGCAGGCAGCACACACACACTCTAAAAACTGAGATCTAAGGGAAACTGATCTGCAAATACGTGAATACCTTATGCTATTTTTATTTTTTAAAGTTATATTAAAACAGAGGTTTATGGTTTTAATTTTGGTTTGCTTCTTCCTCTATTCCCCAATCTTGTGGATCCTTTTTCATTCTTTACTGAGTCATAGCTGATTTACAATATGGTGCACGTTCCAGATGTACGGCACAAAGATTCAGTCACACACACGTTCTTTTCCAGATTCTTTTCCCTTTAGGTTATCTGTTGCTGGTGTTTAGTCCCTAAGTTGGGTCCAACCCTTTGCAACCCATGGACTGTCGGCCACCAGGCTCCTCTGTCCATGGGATCCCCCAGACAAGAATACTGGAGTGGGCTGCCATTTCCTCTTCCAGGGGATCTTCCCAACCCAGATATCGAACTCCCGCCTCCTGCACTGCAGGAAGATTCTTAACCACGGAGCCACCTGGGAAGCCCTATTACATACTACTGTTTATCCTGCTATCTTAACCTCTCAAGTATTTTGGTTAGCATCTTACTCATTCAACATCACCACCCTCTGAACACAACACTCCACTGACTGAAATATGCTCTACACCCATCACCACACTCCTCCACCCTTTTTCATCACACACATACACACACAACTACTAAGAACCCAACGACTAGGACAGAGTTCTGCACGTCTACTGTCCAGAATAACCTCTGCTTCTCTTTGAGGCATGAAGCACTTCTGACCCAGGGCCTTCCCCTGGTATTTCAACAAGAACAAACACAAAACTGTTTAGAGCTTTTACTCTCCTCCCCACCAAATCAGATACAGTTCTACCATGCTATTTTAAACTCTTCATGGCCTCCTCCTTTCAGTCTACAATTTTTCTCATTTCTTTCCCAGCACAAATCACACAGCTCAGCAAATGCTATCTTCCACCCCCAGGACATCGGCTTTAATCAACTACATCTCACAGAATAAGATCCCTACCTGGTACAACAGGAAGTAAACAAGTAAACAAAGTCTCAAGAGGACTATGATAAATGTATCCATAATTAATGACCTTACAATTTAAGTTTGATACGTATGTACTACACGCTTACCAATTTTAATACCATGAACAACAAAATGCTAATACAGCCTCACATATGTATCAATCCACTTAAAAATAC